CACACACACACACACACACACACACACACACACACACACACACACACGGTGCAAGTCCCTACCTTCCTGCACCGCCTGGAAAGGGTTGTTGGGCTCGATGAGCTTGATGGAGTGCGTGATCTTCTCGCTCTGCAGGACGTCATCGCTCAAGCTGAGGTCCGACACGGCGAGCTGGAACACCTCATCGTCCCGCACGGCGTTCTCCTCAAATATTGCACCTGGACAGGTGGGGGGGGGGGGACAATAAATAAAAAGAAGATCAGGACGACGGCTGGATGCTCGACATGACGCCGGGAGTGATGAGCATTTTTCTATTTGATTAGACATTTATGAAATATCTGACATTTTGTCAGCAAAACTATAACCGTCAGGCTAATCAATAATAAATATAATCCTAAACTCAACTACAGACTGAGCCCGTTGAGCCACACAGGGAATAAAACCTGTAACCTGTAGGTTACGTCTGTCTGTTTGCTTGTTGGGAATGAACTGACAGATCACACCAGAGTTTCCCATCATGCATTTAGTCAAAGCACTGCTCACTGAGTTCAGATTCACTCATTACTTTGGCAACAGAATCTGGGATTTATAGGAGTTATTTTAGATAACTACACTGATGAAGATATCCTGCTTGATCTACTCAAAACAATGAGGGCAACTTTTTGCATCAAATTATTATGTAGAACAAGCAACGCTGGGTTTTGTATGAATTACTTCATTTTCCAGGTAAAATCAACTTAAATTAATTTAGTTCATACAAAAACCAGCATCATTTGTTCGACATAATTGCTCTAATTTTTTTACGCAAAAAATGTTTTTCAGTGAAATATCATAGAAATCAAGTTATTACATTTTTTGTAAAAAACTGACATTTTGGTTCAATATCTGCTCTGATTGGTGAAATGTGACCACCAGCCCTTTGTAGAGTAACACAACAACACAATGTGTGTTGTGTGCGTTTACTTAACGATTGGCAGACACAGCTCGGTGAGGATTACATGCCTTTAAACAGATGCAGATTAAGTCCATGACTATCATCTATTCTGTACATGTTCATTGTGAATGATATCTAATTGTGTACATGAGTTTACTTTATGTCTGATATTGATATTGATCGTCTCTCCTCGTTACTCGTGTGCATCCATTCTTCTCTTTTCTTTGACACACACACTCTCTCTCTCTCTCTCTCTGTAACCAGCTGACTCAATAACAATAATCATTGAATCCAGTCCTGTAGTCTGGCTTCCCTTTAGACTACATAACCATATAGAGATGTTTATGTTTTAATGTGTGAGTTCACCTCTCACCGTCACAAGCTGTGCGCACACGTGAATAAACAGATGAGAGCAGCAGGTTCCAAAGGAAACACTCCACTGGAACTTCCTGTTGCGGCCTGACGTGTTTTAATTAGCAATCAATTAACAGCAGGTGCGTTCACTTATTAATAATCAGGCAAAATATCATTAATCATCTTACATTAGCTTCAGGTTAGTGGAACAGAAAGACAGATCTGTACATATTCTTCTTATTTATGGAGTAAACGCGGACACCAACCTCTCACGTGACCTGTACCGGAGATCACCGGAGCAGCTGTGTCGGTGTCCTCGTGTCATTGAGACCAGAACACAACAGACACTTTAACGCAGCGCGTAACGAGCCTCGTCCCGTTGTGAGGAAGATGAGGGACATGTTCTTCCTCCATTAAAGGAGTTTAGTGTTCAGAGCTGCACGTTACCGACCGAGAGAGGGGGCGGGGCTTTATTGATCAGCTGATCAGCTGATCAGGTGACGTCCGGCCCTTTCAAACTTCTTCATGGCACTTTTTAGTTACAAGGCGCTGAACCAAAGAACCAGAATAAATATGTATGAAATAATAAATAAATAAAATAATAATCTGATAATCCAGGAGATGTCTATGTGTATCAACTCCACTCCTCTGTTATCACCGACACAATGAATCCATCATTATCCGTTTTATGTTGGGCTAATATCGATACGCATACTTTTCAAAGTGAAATATAATCTGCAGAGATTATCAGGGATCAGAGGAACCAGCTTGTGTCTTGTTTGGGGAAACAATAAATGACGTGATGAGGGATTTCAGGCTTCTTTACCCTGGGGGGGGGGATTTAAATGGTGCGTGTAGATTTGCATTTGACACAAGGAAGGTTGCAGAGAGTATCCGGGTACTGCTGGTTGTAATGGGGCTGCAGGCTGACTGTGATGAGGAAAGCTTTACATTGTACTGCATGCAGTGAAGCTGATGGGTACTTGTGAGAAAAAGGTGGTTTAATGGGGGCCCTCAGCTCATTTTTGTCCCAGGGCCCCACTGCAGGTTAAAGTGGCCAAGAGTGTCTGACAGTTGTTACGGAGAACTGTGACTGTAAGTATGAAAGGAGAGGAAAGAAGGACTCTGCTCCACCTCCTCCTCAGCTCCATTCTGTTGAATCTATGCCCAGTTCTTCTTTGTGTTTATTCCTCACACACCGTTATGTAAAACATATTACCTCCTGAAACATTACATCTGCTGATGAAGATCATGTGATGTGATCAAAAGCACCAGAGCAGCTATTAAATGCACCACGTGGTGGTGTTGACAGACAGCGAGTCCTGCGGTTAAGAAGATGTTTGCACTTCATTTCAAAGAAAAGGCCAACTGGCCAAACAGAACCGTAACTCACATGTTATCAAACTTGATAATGAAATGTGAAGCACATGACATGTGTCTGCCAGACTGAAGTGCAGCTGGTAAACCCTGAATGTGATGAACGGATGAGCAGATAGATTTCGAGTAAACTGAAAGACATGGAGGGGAAGACATGCAGACAAGCTTGGAACTTTCTGGATTCTGTTTCGTACAATTAAGAAAACCTTGAATACAAGTGAGAATTCAATTTGCCAGGCTGCTCATTCAGCTCGCCGAGTATCCAAATGAACTCTCCTCAGCACCGAGATCCTCGCCGTGGATCTGACGGCCTTGGTCTCCGATCGTCTACAGCGCCTGATCAATCAATCATCACGGTTAAAAACAAAAATTGCATCCAGACAGGCGATTTTAATTAACAATGAATCTTGTAGCAACCTGTCAGAGCGGAGACACGGCGAGGGAGCTGATGTGAGGCTTATACTTTGCCCCCCCCCCCCCAGCAGCAGCAGACTGCGGAGCCTCAAACTTCAACGAGATGAATTAATGATGAGAGCTGACTCTGGACCTGCTGGGGGCTCAGGACCAAACCCCCGGGGTTCTTAATCCAATCGCAAAAAAACAAATGTTCTCACTTGCAGGAAGGTTTGTTTAATTTTTCCATTTTTTTTGAGACATCTATCTCTAGGATTCCTGCCTTCACCTCGACATGATGAAGGAGTCTGTGGTGCTCATGACCACAAACTCTTGAAGATAGAGATGAAATGTGGATTCACAAGGACCCTGTTTCTGCAATGAGACTTTTAACATTGACCTCCATGTTATTGTGGGAAAGGCAGAAATCTCAGAGACAGATTCCTCAAAACGTGCACAGATAAACCTGAACACATGCAGTGAGACGCCACGAGGAGTAAACGAGAAAACACGTCTCTGTCGAGTGACAAGAACCTTTAAAACTCACGTAGCATCATCTATTGTATTCAGGAATACTGTGTTATTCAATTGCATGATTTTAAACTTTGTTCTTGTGTTTTCACCTTTAGCATCAAGAAGCATTTCGTGACATTTTAGCATTTAAATTGCACTTTATTCAAACATTTTCTATGCATACGCTTGCGGCCCTTAAGGGCATTATTGAATTTCCACCTGAGCTGAATCGTTAATAAATGCCACAGAAACGTGGGAAAGCCAGTCTGAGCTGGAGGACGATGTGTGAGTCTGTGAGCGTCTACACATTCCTACACTACATACAGGGGGGGGGGGGGGACTTCACACCAGCCGGTAGCCAAATGTTTGCCACTGATGCAAAAAACAATGTGTTGTAGCTGGTGAATTTGTCAGGCCTCCTCTCCTCCCTCCTCCTCCTCTCCTCCTCTCCTCTTCTCCTCCTCTCCTCCTCTCATCCTCTTCTCTTCCTCTCTCCTCCTCTCCTCCTCTCACCCTCCTCTCCTCCTCATTTAAATTGCACTTTATTCAAACATTTTCTATGCATACGCTTGCGGCCCTGAAGCGTGAGGCCTCATGGCGGCTACAGAGCTGTTATCATAACCACACATCCCAAGAAGGGGACGTTTGAGCCCCTGTGGTCTGCTGCAGAACAACGTGTTCCCTCTATGAACACAAAATGCTTCCACGCTGTCAGACCGACGGGGGGGGGGGAGCTGAACTCCATTCTCAGACTTCTCATCACAAACCCACACGCTCTCACACAGTAGAGGTGAGATACTGAGCTGCTTTCTCCTTCTGTCACACAGTCAATCATCATCATCACATGAAAACTACATGCAAATGAAAAGTGCATCAGCAGAGATTACCTACCCGGCCGGCCACTTTGGCACGTCTAACCATCAATTATGTCCAAGACTCATTCTGCTCTGTAATATGATGGATATTAAGATCCACGGAGCCACTGCAGCTGCCAGGCTGTTACACATCAGCATCCAGCAGCTTCTAATTCACAGAATCTAACTTGAGGAAACTTTTACATTAAAACAGGAGCAAAGTGAAAAACAACACAAACCTAATCCCACTTGTGTAGACTGTAAATGTGCTGCACTGTAGCTGTGTGTTCAGCTTCAGTGTCTCATGTAAGACACACCAGTAATTAGACCGCGCTTAGAACGAAAAAGCCGCCGCTGGCAAACGTGCAGGCGAGTCCTGGCTTGAGTTTGCAATTTATACAATTCTTTAACATATTTCTGTGAAGAGTTACCCAATCAGGAAAGAGCACGTGGACATGTGACAGCAGTTCACATCCGTTTATTTGCATGAAGAGTTAGTGAAAGCAGCAAAACACTCTGAACTCTGTCCTCTCTGTCTCTACCTGTTGGTGGAACACGAACACTCTGCTGCATGCCACCTTCATTCAATCCAGCCAATGTGGCCGCAGCATTATGTGAGTGAGATGGCTTTGCTGCTCTCTGCCTGCATCTCTTCAGCACGTGTGTGTGTGTGTGTGTGTGTGTGTGTGTGTGTGCAGGTGGTGGAGGTAAACGGCTAAGCCTTCACTGGGACAGAGCGGGAAGCCTTTTGCGTTGTTCCCTAACTGGGTTAGTTTATCTTATTTAGTGCCGGCCAGAAGAGGCCGCAGCTGTTCATTTGGCTCCGCCGGCCTCCACAGATTGGATTCCTGCAGTTCGAGCTCGCCCTACGAAAAAGAAAGAAAAAACAAAACGTCCACGGAGAAGCAGAGCTCCCCTTTCTGCTAGCCAGCTATACACCCGGCGCCGTAAATCATCCCTCGTCAGCTGCCTGGCTCATGGAGCGGGGTAATCTTATGAAAAGTGACTTGTTATCTGCTTGGCCCGAGGGGCGTTTAGAGGACCCCACAGGGGATAGGAAGAGCTACAACCCAAGTCCAGCTCCTGAAGCCAGATACCAACAGGGTCTACGGTCCTTCTAAGTTCATAAATGATCTTTTAAATGAGAAACTTTATGACTGAATATATTTTGCCTCATGTCTAAAACTCTCCACTGGAACCAGACTGATGAAATGAATTCTGTAAAGCTGCAGCATCAGCACTTTTTACATAAACACTGAATTACAAAGACTGAAATCTGAACGGCGTCCCTCGCAGTTCTTCCAGTAAGTGGCTGAGATCTGGATGAAACCGTCTCCGTGTTAAAAGAGGTAATCACAGATTGACAGAAGCAAAGAGAAAAAGAGGAAAGAGGCAATAAGAGGCAGAGACATTCACACACTGCAAACTGTAGCTTCCCTGCATCCTGAAGGCGTTGGATGCAGTTGATGAAGTCAGAGCTCTGTACAGACCGGTCAAGTTCTTTCACACCAAACTGGAACAAATCATTTCTTTGTGCAGCACCAGCATCACGTTGGAACAGGAAAGAGCCTCAACCCACAGAGTTGGACGCTCACTGTTGTCTGAAATATCATTTCAGGCTGAAGCATAAAGATTTCCATTCAGTGCAATTAAAACATGAGCACCATATGTTCTGCACCTGTTGTGGTTGTTTCTGATGTGTCAGCAGAATGTCTATTAATTGAGCTCCATCGAAGACAGATTTCTGTCATGTTTTCTAAAAACAGCAGTTTGATTTGGAAAGACACCTTCTTGTAAGCCCCCCCGAGAGCATCCGTCAGATCCAGAGTGGACCTCACTGATGACGTGATATCTGGTACTTAATTAAAGGCCAAAACCGGACCTCAGACCTGCTCCCTCCCTCCTGGTCCCGACCTTCAACCAGACAAAGTGATGTTCCCCGACCACTGGTCTTCTTTGAAAGTCACAAGCAAATCCCTGCAGCAGCTGCTTTCACTGATTTGTGCACATCCAACCAGAGAACGGGGCGGGACTAATTAGAGGAACCAGCTGCTGTTGTGATTAGAACCTGCAGACTCTCGAACCTCCACAGTGCAGGATTCTGCACACAAACGCAGCAAGTGGGTCAGAGGTTGAAGCAGGTCGAGTGAAGGTCCAAGTCCTCTGTATCAGCTCTTTTACAGACCCCCCCCCCACCCCACACACACACTTTGCAACACCCGCGGCCTGCCACTTATCCTCTACAGATGTGTATTGCTTTTATATATGATGATTTTAATGTAAAGTGTCTTTGAGTTTTATGAAAAGCGCTATATAAATAAAATGTATTGTTATTATTATTATTACAGGGAGCAGAAGAGAGAAAGGGACAAACAAACCGGGATATGTCACCGACGATAAAGCCACGCGGCTGGACGAGACAGATGCTCGGGCTGGGGTTTCGGGGGCCGAGGTTGGAACACTGTCACATCTGATCTGGGCGACGCGTCGCGCTGCTAAGTCAGTCAGAGTCTGTCTGTTGGTTGAGGGGAACAACGAAGGCCCTACATGCAACCAGCCAACCACAGATCAGCCATGGGGGGGGGGGGGGCAGTTCAGGGTTTATAGTGTTTGTATCAAAATCAACTTTTACTGTACGCTCATGCTGCAATATTTTGAGTTGGAGGACAACTTTATGTTGAAACCTGACACTCCTCGGTCTAGCGTGTAGCATGTGGCGACATCTAGCGATGAGGTTGCAGACTGACACGAACAGAAACTTCTCCCGTGTTGCCAAGCGTCTCGTAGAACTACGGAGGCCGATGCACAAACACAGAAACCTGAATGTCCCTCTCAGTGTTTGATTCGTCCGTTCTGTGTCCCTGTAGAGACATGGAGGCTGGCTCCTTGAAGACCACACGCTCTGTATGTAGAGATAAAGCTCATTCTAACGTATGAAAACACAACAATTCTTATTTTCAGGTGATTATAAAGAAAACATACTTCTTATATTCAATTTCTGCCAATAGACACAATAGACTCCCAAATGCTCCACTGTACCTTTAGATAAAGATTGCCGTTATAAACCAACTCGTTACCAGACTTACTGTGAAAACAATCAAATGTATCAGCATGAGAGCCCCATGTGATGCTTCCTAAAACGTAATCCTGAAGAGTTCACACATTCGTTCTTTGGTTCTCAGCTGTCTCACAGTTTTCAGGACACGGCTGGCTCAAGACGTTCCGTGATAAATCTATGAGATCACAAGATGATGAATAAGAAAGTAACACAAAACGGTGCTGAGATTTTAGATCATTGCGTGCATCTTTTGAGAAACTGGATATTTTCACCCATTCAGTCCTAAAATTGGGTAAATCTGAGAAGGAAACATTGCTCTTAACGTGGTTAAATGTCCTCGCTACAGCCGTGTCCTTTAGCAATGTTGAGCTCATGAAGAACAATAAATGAGTAGATAATAAAATCTTAGGGTTCATGATGTTAAAAGAATTACAAAGAAACTTGAGCTGGTGGTTCTTGTGAAGTACTGGATACTTTAGCCTCTATGGACCTTTAGAAATCCATAAAATGAAACAAGTTTTTATATTCAGAAACAGATGTTATGTTATTATATGGAGTCACGGGACAAAAACTCTTCATCTTCAACTCTCTGGTCAAGAGCCAAATATTACGGGATTAACACTGACTCGCATGGTTCAACACTTATTTTCATGTTTGTGCTTCAACTGAGCGACCACGAAGCTCCTCCTCCTTGTTTTGGAGCCACTAACACAGATCCATCGTTTCATATCAACTGACGTGGATGAGATGCCTTCCAAAGATCTGTCACGAGATGTGTTGATGAGCAGAAACAACACGTCATCAGTCACATGAAACTAATACATCAACCGGATTTCCATTAATATACGTATGTTAACATGCACCACACCACCTCTTCTCCTCCACCCATAAATCAGCTGAGATTATTCTTTATTCATTGAGTCCCTCATGGTCCCGTACCAGTGTGGTCCCACGCTCACGTCTGGTCTCACTATTTGGCATCAACCGCCCTCATTTGTTGTATTCACGGTTCTGTGTTCTCGATAATCCTGTATCACTGCTCTCTCTTGTCTCCATGTGATAAAAACCCAGATCTTTCTCCAGAGGGACAGTACAGTATCCATCCATCTGTCCATCCATCCTTCTGCTCTAGAATTCTAGAAATGCATATTCTGAAGTTGTAGAATGTCTTTCCTCTGTGTGCAGCAGGGTTTTTATTCCCTGTGAATGTCACCTGTCTGTGCACCAATAAAGAACCATGAAGGAAAGAGGGGAAACCTCATCTCCCATATTAATGACTTCCTTAATCAGCACATTCTCTTGTTCATATTTCATGTTTGCATGATGTTTGTCAAACATTCACTGACATATTATCATGATGGAGATGCAGCGTCTTTGGAAGCAATATGTCACTGTATCTTTTGAAGAAGCATGTGGAGTAGCAAGTGTATTCATAGATGAATGGCTCTGACTCCCCCCATCGTCCCACCACCCTATACGCCCCCCCCCCCATACAGGCCACCGGTGCCACAGGCCGGGTTTGATGGTCTGAGCTGCAGCAGAGATCTGGAATATCAAACTGGGTAACTATTGTTTTGCTTCCTCGTTTTGCAAACTGAATGTCTCTCTTCCAAACTGAGGGCGGCCGCTTTGCCGCATCCAATCATCTCAGGGGGGAGAGGAGCCTCTAATTGGAATCAGTGCAAATTGGAGAGTTCATATGAAACGTGCGTGCTGCTGCGAGTGTGTGATCAGTCAGTGGCGTCTCAACAACTCTGCGCTTCTCCCAAAAACCCCTCCCATCCTCCTGTATTCTCCATCAACTCATGCTTTCAATGAAATAAAAGTGACTTCACCAACATTTCAGGAGGATGAATGATGAGAAAAGGGGGAGACTCGAGCAGAAAGTGGCGCTCGCCAAACAGCTTTTGGTTTTCACCGATGTTTCAAAGCCCAAACAGTCGGCGTTTGTCCCCTTTGTCATCTCCTCCCCTGGAAGAGTTGATTAAGATTTCACTCACGTCCAATTCAAAGTTCAGGCTTATAGATGAGGGGAGGCGAGGGGAGGGGGGTGGAGGAAGAGGAGGAGGAGGGGTGGAGGAAGGGAGGGAGGGAGGAGGATGGATGGATGAAGCAAAACCCTCCAAACACACCATGTCGGGCCAGTTCCTCCTGCCAGCCTCAGGTTTTCTGCATGTGAATGTGAATAATGCATCGACATCAGCTCTCTCTGAGGATGGATGGATGGATGGATGGATGGATGGATGGATGGATGGATGGATGGATGGATGGTGCGGCGCAACACTTTGCGGGCACTTCAAGCTGCTCTGCGTGCGTCTGAGCCTGGATGCAACAGCCTCCTTCCTTTCCTTCCTAAACATTATGCCGGCACGGATTGGAACAATAATTAGATTTGAGGTCGGAGGGGAATGTATGCACGGAAACTGTAATATTCAAATTACCTCAACTTAAACACCACTCATCTGTCCGAATTTCACAAACCCACCAGTAACCTGATTTCATGCTCACATTCTGTGTTTAAAGCCGTTCTTACACGCAGCCACCAGCTCGTCTCTTCCTACGGCCAAAACCCTGCACAGCACCCCCCCCCCCCCCCCCCCCAAAAAAAAAAGCCCCGGTTGGTGTCTTACCAATGTGAATGATGGAGTCGGCGCTCACTGTGTTGCATTGCAATATCCACAGGGAATGAAATAACAATGTCAGCATTTCCATCTCCAGTTTGAGCCAAAGAGGCGCATCCACGGATCCACCTCGCTGAATTGTGTTGTTTTTTCCTCCAGTGATGAGCAAATCCAGAATAAGCGGCGGTGCGTAAAAGCGGCGGCGGCAGCAGCGGCGGCGGAAGGGAAGCTATGTTGAGTGAAATCACCACCGAATAGTAATAGAGAGCTAAATCCCAAAGATCAAACTGTTGGCCGGAGTCGAGAGGAAGAAGAAGGGTAGACAAATAAATAAATAGATGCTTCCAGGGCTCCGGAGAGAAACAGACCCGGGTGAGTGAGGAGGGAAGCGGGGACGGATAAGAGAAGACACCGGGGGTTTGTTTCAGAGGTTGAGATCCGCCAGGCGAGCAGCTCTGACTCTCTACCTCCGAGTCTGAGACATAACACACTGCAAACTGCGGAGGAGGAGGACGGACTCTCTCTCTCTCTCTCTCTCTCTCTCTCTCTCTCTCTCTCTCTCTC